TGTGCCAGTTTGCCAGAGGCAGGGGATTTCACCCCTCCATGCCTTCACCCCCAAAAACTCGAACAGCAAGGGAAGGACCAATGGGGAACTTCTGACGACCCGCTACACAAAGGAGGAGAGAGCGCTAGCTGGTACTTTCACCATGCTAGCGAGGAAGACCAGTGCCCTTTCCTGAGCCCTGGCTCCCTGTGGAGGTCTCCACTGCTTTGGGACAGCCCCTCCATTTCCAGCAGCTCCAACGCTGTGGGGAGGGCTCTTCTACCCCACTCTTTTGCTCTTTCCGCACCATCCCTCCATCAAGCAGTGCCACGTGAGAGCTGGAAAACACAGAGCTGCTTCCTCAGGGATGCGCCAAGACAGAAGACATAGGCACAAAAATTTCAAAAGCTGTCATTTTCCCCTCTTCCTCCTCAACAAGGCGACCGGATTGATTTCCCTGGCAGGCAAGTTTCCTCACCGGAGCTGTGCCAAGGAAAAAGCAGCCATGCCTACCTGAGAAAGGCTTTTCAGGAAGGAGTCCTTCTTTGGGCAGAGGTCCTCTCTCCATAAGGGAGTGATTACTCCTATTGCAGCATCAGGACCACAGCAGTCCAGCTACACAGAGAGAGAGGAAACAGCATTAGTAGACTTGCAAGCACTCTCCTTCAATGCTTTCCCCACCACTAAACATCCCAGAAGCCACCCATGACCTAGGAGTCATCTTGGAGGGGGGGGAAAAAAAAAAAAAAAGGGGGGGGGGGGGGTGAGTAGGGGAATTAACTCTCCAAATTCAATTTTGTATTTGCATGCAACGCAGCTGCTTCCTGCAATAACTGCAGATACTTATATCTGGGCTTGAGATCCTGGAAAAGAAAGAACACAACCCTCTCCAGAGATTTGCTTCCCGCTGAGGAGAGGAAGTACTCTTGGAATTAGTTCCTCAGAGCAATGTTTTTCTGCTGCTGCATTTTACTTAATCAGGGGTACTGAGGTAAATGAAAAGCAACTTAATTAAAGCTCAGGCCAGACTTCCTAGCACAGCACAAAAAGGACAATATTTAAGGCGATGCAACTCTTACTTGACATCTAAGAACAGCAAACTCCACAGGCTAACTCGAATGTAACATCATCTACCTTAGACCATGGTTTTCCTGTTTATTTTCCTGACCCCCACTTCTTCTCTTTTCTCCCACATTCTCATTTTCTCTTGCTACAGATAATTCCTATAAAGAGAAGATTTTTACACAGAGCCTGGAAAACAGGCAGCAAAAGCCCTGTGCTGCGAATACTTTTGTTCCAGTTCAATCCTAAGCGTCAAAAGTTTCAGTGTTGTCTTCCTTCCTTCCTAGCCCAAGAACTTGTAGTTCACCTTGCTTCCTCCTCCTCCTCCTCCGCGGGGAGCAGTCTATGCATGGTGATGGTCGTTTCTCAGCCCTTACAAGATGACATAACTGCACGCAGGAAGTAGTTTTGTGGGGCCTGCTACTTTGCATGCCCCTTCACAACACATGGGATCCTGCTCGTCAGTGACCCACGGCATATAACCTAAGCAAAGTGTGCAACAAGGCCTCAAACATCTTACCGTTTCATGAAAGGTCTTCACTACGGCCTTCCCGTTGTTTGTCTCCGATTCTGCCATGAGTGCTTGTTGAAACGCTTGGTCATAGAACTGCTTCACATCTTTGGCTATCTACGGAGGGCAGGAAAAAATCCCTTTCAGCCGGAGGACCACAAGCAAACTCATCTAGCAAATGTACCTGAACGTGGCAGGTTCTCCCTAAGGTCACCCACAAGTAGATAAGCAGTTTTTAATGGATTTGGACCCTGATTATTCACACAGGTGAGTAAAAAAGGCCTCTCTTTCACAGGGATCAAATCCTTCCAGGATTATGAAGAGCAACTATTAAGAACCTAATTCACCAGCTAAGAGGTTTCAGCCAACATTATTCAAATGCTTTGAGCTCTCTATAGCAGGCAAAGCCAGCCAAGCCATGGATGGTGAACCACAAGATCCGAGACTGTTACTGCTACCAGGAACGCAGAAACAGCTTGTTCTGACCTACAGTATACCTGGAAATGAAGCAAGCAGGCATTAGGTTTCCCACTGAGGATGCAGTGAAATGACACAGAAGGGAAGTCGGGAGGAGCTGGAGTGGGCAAGCAAGGAAGTCTGTAGATAAAGGCACCTCAGTTTACAGCCTGGCTTGGAGGGGATGGTAGGAATTTAAGAGAGGTTGCACACTGAGCCTAGGTAGGCAGCTCACCTGGGTCAGGAAGTTTAGGTGCTTTGGACAGCTATCAATCCTGCTCGGTCCCTAGATGGGTCTAGGCACCCCTGTCCTGTAAATGGTTTTATTAGTAACCTTGACCATGCTCTTACTCTGCCACCTGCTCCCATGAACCACAGCCGCTCGTGGGGGAACGTAGCAGCAGCCTCTGCTCCAAAGAGCCAAAGGAACCATCGTGTTAAGGGAGGCTGAACTTGT